TAGCTCCACGCCCTCTTATCGTTCTAGTGTTAACACTAGTTCTCACAAAAGTTGTAATGGAATCATCTAAATTTATTACATAAAATTGCAACAATAGCAGCTTTATTGGGGCGAGCATAAGCGAGCCCCACTCAGGCGAAGTCTCCCTCCCTCCCTCCCTCCGTATGTATGTATGTACGTACGTCTCCAGTCACGCCTATTCTGGTCACACCCCATGTGTGCACAATATCTATTTAAAAATCAATGATCTAATGCGGTAGCATTCTAATGAAATATTTTCATTGATGTGGGTGTGGTTGCAATGAAATTAAAATGGCACCTACCTTAGCCAATCTTACTTGCAGCAACATAGGACTGATCTCTTGTCAAGACACTTCATCAGCAGAGAAAATTCAAGAAAACACACATAAATCTTCAAGTTTTTATTAATTATGGTTGAATGACAGAATATAAAAGCACTTCAAATGGCTCATCAGAGAAAAGAGAGTCTAAAAGTACTGTGCTTGAAAATATCATAGTAAAAATTAAATTATACTTATTAAAGTTACAACTGAGATTCTTCACTGCTAATAAAGCTAGAAGAGCAAGCTATAAAATTTCCTTGCATGCAAGTCACAAGTTCTGAGCTGCTCTGCATGTGTATCATTCAATTTACAATTTGACTCGCAATTTGACAACAACATTAGCCTTTGTGACATCTAAACATTGTATATTGCCATGCTAGCTTGTGCTCGCCCCTTCAATGTTCTACATTCGCCTAGTTATTATTATTATTGGTTATTGGGGCGAGCATAAGCTCGCCCCACTCAGGCGAAGTCTCCCTCCCTCCCTCCCTCCCTCCCTCCGTATGTATGTATGTATGTACGTACGTCTCCAGTCACGCCTATTCTGGTCACGCCTATTCTGGTCACACCCCATGTGTGCACAATATCTATTTAAAAATCAATGATCTAATGCGGTAGCATTCTAATGAAATATTTTCATTGATGTGGGTGTGGTTGCAATGAAATTAAAATGGCACCTACCTTAGCCAATCTTACTTGCAGCAACATAGGACTGATCTCTTGTCAAGACACTTCATCAGCAGAGAAAATTCAAGAAAACACACATAAATCTTCAAGTTTTTATTAATTATGGTTGAATGACAGAATATAAAAGCACTTCAAATGGCTCATCAGAGAAAAGAGAGTCTAAAAGTACTGTGCTTGAAAATATCATAGTAAAAATTAAATTATACTTATTAAAGTTACAACTGAGATTCTTCACTGCTAATAAAGTTAGAAGAGCAAGCTATAAAATTTCCTTGCATGCAAGTCACAAGTTCTGAGCTCAGTGCTCTGCATGTGTATCATTCAATTTACAATTTGACTCGCAATTTGACAACAACATTAGCCTTTGTGACATCTAAACATTGTATATTGCCATGCTAGCTTGTGCTCGCCCCTTCAATGTTCTACATTCGCCTAGTTATTATCATTATTACTATTGTTGGGGCGAGCATAAGCTCGCCCCACTCAGGCGAAGTCTCCCTCCCTCCCTCCGTATGTATGTATGTATGTACGTACGTCTCCAGTCACGCCTATTCTGGTCACACCCATGTGTGCACAATATCTATTTAAAAATCAATGATCTAATGCGGTAGCATTCTAATGAAATATTTTTATTGATGTGGGTGTGGTTGCAATGAAATTAAAATGGCACCTACCTTAGCCAATCTTACGGACTGATCTCTTGTCAAGACACTTCATCAGCAGAGAAAATTCAAGAAAACACACATAAATCTTCAAGTTTTTATTAATTATGGTTGAATGACAGAATATAAAAGCACTTCAAATGGCTCATCAGAGAAAAGAGAGTCTAAAAGTACTGTGCTTGAAAATATCATAGTAAAAATTAAATTATACTTATTAAAGTTACAACTGAGATTCTTCACTGCTAATAAAGAGAGAAGAGCAAGCTATAAAATTTCCTTGCATGCAAGTCACAAGTTCTGAGCTCAGTGCTCTGCATGTGTATCATTCAATTTACAATTTGACAACATTAGCCTTTGTGACATCTAAACATTGTATATTGCCATGCTAGCTTGTGCTCGCCCCTTCAATGTTCTACATTCGCCTAGTTATTATTGGTTATTTGGGGCGAGCCTGAGCTCGCCCCACTCTAGCTATACTCTCAGTCACGCCCCGTCTGTCTGTCTGTCTGTCCTCGTACGTCACCCCTATTTATGCGTAGATCTAATACGGTAGATAGATACTATGCATTACCAATGCAATTTTCAATTTTTCATTGAAAGTGGGAGCGGTCACAGTAAAAGAAAAATGGCAACCAACACACTGGAAGAGTTCATGAGCTTTCTAGCAGCAATATAAGGCAGATACCTAGCAGCAATATAAGGCAGATACCGTCCAAAGACTTCCCCAGCAGCTATAGAAGGTTTTAAATTCAATTAATAACCTATGAAGCTCGTCTTTACTGATGCAATTGCTATAAAAACTGTGAAAGTCAATCAAGCTTTTTCTCAGTCATCTTAATATTGGATAATATTATATCTAAAGCTAAGTAAAGCATCTTTACAGACATTTATAGGCAAGAAATGTGTATGTGAAACTAGAAGACTAAAAGTTTATTAATTTTATCAGCAGCATTAAACTTTCATCATGTAAATCATGTTTGCTATGCCTAAATCATGATGCATGCTTTGAAATCATCAGGAGTAGATTATAGATGGATAGATCCAGTGCCATAATTGCTTTGCTAGCTTAGGCTCGCCCCTTAATGTTCTACATTGCTTCTAGTAGTGATTATGTTAGTTATGATTAGTTATGAGTATGAGTGGTGAACATGTGTTCTGTTACTATATTTAGAAAGTTAGAGAGTTCTTTTGTTCTGTTGTTATTCTATGGTTCTCTAGTTCTCTCTCGTGCTCTCTCCCTCATCATGTATTGATTGTCCTGGACATTCTCCCTCTCTTCTTCCTTCTTTTTTTAACTTAAAAATATAATTATAATAGTGTCAACTGTTGCGCCAATACTGCGCTTTAGCAGCTGATAGCACAGTGAAGGGAGTAAACATCACATTGGCGACGAGGAGTGTAAACTCACTAAAGTTATTCTGTCATGGCTGGATCTGTTGGACGGCTCGGACCTTTCAATCCTGGGCAGAGTCGATTTCTACTTTATTGCAAATGACATTACGGGAGCGGACAAAAAGCGGGCTACCTTCTTAAGTTTGATAGGAGCCGACACATATAAAACGTTTGAGATGTCTGCTAGTCCCTGAAGCGCCAACAGACAAGTCATATGAAGAGTTGAAGAAGTTGGAGGATCATTTTGCACCTAAGAGGTCACAAATATATTCGTTCGGAATTTTACAGATGTATTCGTAAGCCTCACATGTCAGTTGCTGAGTGCATGTCTCGATTTATAATAAGGTCACTTGCTAAAGACTGTGGCTTTGGTGCCCAGCTAGATGTAATGCTAAGGGATCGACTGATATGCGGTATCAATGATGCAGCTATCCAGAAGCGACTATTGTCAGAGGGTGACGATCTCACACTCAAGGATGCTCTGCAGCATGCCATGTCCCTGGAGCTAGCAATGAAAGATTTGAAAGAGTTGCATTCGAATGGTTTAGACCCTGTGCACTCTACTAGAGCAGGAGGAGAAGGTAGACATCCGAAGCCTCACAATCATAATGGCCAACATCACACAGCTGGTGTTGGTGGTAAGCGTAACTGCTACAGATGTGGACAGTCAGGACATGCTCCTGATAAGTGTCGATACAAGACTGCTACCTGTTTTAACTGTAATAAAACTGGACATATCAGTTCTGTTTGCCGTAGCAACCCAAGACGTTCTACCCCTTCATGCCCGAGCGATTATAAGACGACCGATCGTCCTGTACACGATATTCACACTAGTGATACTACCGATACTCGCGATGAGTACTCTTTCACGGTCAGAACGGGTCATACGGATCCCATTATCGTTGATGTCCTCATGGATAATGTTTCAGTCAAGATGGAGCTAGACACTGGCTCATCTGTTTCCATCATGTCATTGGAGACATTTCGTTCACACTTTCCTTTCAAAGTTTTAGAAGAGTCATCACTGAACACATTTAAGGACCTATTCAGGAGAGTTGTTAACAGTACAAGGTATTGTACATGTAAATGTTGTTTACAAGAAGCAGGCTGTTGTTTTGCCATTACATATTGTATCTTAGAAAGGACCTACTTTGTTTGGTTGTGAGTGGTTATTTGAGATAAAGCTTGATTGGCATGAAGTGCATAGTATTAAAGGTCGAGAATCTATAGATTTGTTATTACATAAATTTGAGAGTCCTTTACTAATGAGTTGGGTCAACTTAAAGATTTCAAAGCCCATATATATGTTGATTCTCAGGTTACTCCCAAGTTTTACAAGCCTCGTCCTATTCCGTACGCATATAAGAAGAAAGTTGAAGATGAATTGCAAAGATTATCAGACCTAGGAATTGTTTCCCTAATTCAATTTTCTGAGTGGGCAGCACCTATTGTGCCTGTATTGAAGAGTGATAAAGTGAATGTGAGAATTTGTGGTGACTATAGTGTAACTGTTAACAAAGCGTCCAAATTAGAGTCATATCCTATTCCAAAATTGGATGATCTGTTAGCAGCATTATCTGGGGGCACTATCTATACTAAACTGGACATGTCCCAAGCTTATCAGCAGCTCGAGCTAGACGATGATAGTAAATGTTTCACTGTCATCAATACTCATAAGGGCCTTTTCACATATAATCGTTTGCCTTTTGGCATATCCTCAGCGCCAGCAATTTTTCAACGAGTAATGGAGAGTCTATTGCAAGATATCCTGAATGTAGCTGTTTATATAGATGATATTTTGGTAGCTGGCAAGTCTCACGCTGAGCATATTCAGACTCTAGAGAGAGTATTTTCTCGCCTTCATGATGCTGGTCTGCGTTTAAAGAAAGAGAAGTGTACTTTCTGTACTTCTTCTGTCCAGTATCTTGGTTTTCGTATTAATAAAGATGGTCTTCACCCCACAGCTGAGAAGATTAGAGCTATTAAAGAAGCCCCTACGCCTACTAATATCATGCAACTTAAAGCATATTTGGGCCTACTATCGTATTATAATCGTTTTTTGCCTCATTTGCCTTCTACATTAGCCCCGCTTTATGAGTTGTTGCATCATAATGTTACTTGGAATTGGTCACCAGATTCTGAAGCAGCCTTTATTAAATCTAAAGAGCTGTTGACTGATGATAAATGTCTAGTGCACTTTGATAGCACATTGCCTCTTCTCTTAGCATGTGATGCATCGCAGTATGGAGTTGGAGCAGTTTTGGCTCACCGTTTCCCAGATGGTACTGAG